TTCATAACATTTTATTCTATATTAGTTTTCTATTTAGTTTTTGATTAGATTACTAGCTTGAGGAAAACTACAAATAATGAAATGTTATATATGTGTTAAATCATTTTTTTGCCATACAGATATCATAGGTATATAGCTAGTACAGCACTGCAATATATAGTCAGAATTTTTTTTTGCAATAAAAATATGGCTTATTTATTTATTTAGGATGATTTCAAAGACACTTTTTCATCATTTAKTTAGAAAGATAAACATAGAGATAAGCAAAGAACAAATGATTATGAGAAACATTAAAAATTTTTAAAAAATCATTGTATGATCTGTAATGGTTGAGTTTGAATATTTAGGAAAGTACATGTATCTTCTTGGCTAAGTCAGTCAAAAAGATAAGTTTAAAACTAAGAACAGGTCAAGAAMCATCACTGGTCACCCAGATTATCAAACCACTCAATCGCCCCTAGGCAAGCAACATTCCCAAAGCATAACTCACAATTATAACTGTTTCTTAATTGTTTGAAACAGAATATAATATAAACATAACTCAATAGAGCTAACCAAGACATGATAACATCATGTGTGACAAAAACAACAAATAAACATTTAATAATCTTATCTTAAATAGTGTTTTCATAACTTAGACCCAGAGARCCAGTCTGAAGCACCCTTGACCACAATGAAGTAAAGCAATACGCTGTCTGTTTGAATTTTCTCTACCTTCGACYAACACATGGAAAAAATTAACCTTCATACACTGTTGATAATTGAAACTTTTACAGCTTTTAAGAACAATTGATCTTCACTGTACCAATATGCAGCAAATTCATAAGTATGCAGTCATATATATYGGCTCACATCAAATTGATAAGGCAGTTTACAGATAAACGTTACTAGGGAAATATCAGATATGGAATCACGGCAAACGTCAGTAAACTTAATGAAGAAGATAGAAAGCAGACATTGAATTTAGATAACGATTCATATGAAATTACTAGGAGTGGCAAAGAATAAGGACTTTCTCTGGATTTTACACACCTTGAGTTCAAACAAAACACTTGTTAACGAGCTACGACGTTACRAATACGATATAATAAGATTGATACATTATGGAATTTCACTTTCTCTACATTTTCACTGAGTTTCAAAGGCTATTATTAAATCTAATTATTTACAATGCACGAACGGACATAAAATACAAGTAACTCGGAGTATAACAAGACAAATGCCTTCAGTATACACATAACCTTAACGTACATAAGTCGAGTAAAGAAGGTATTTTGTGGAGAGCCCACTTAGCCTGCTTGAACCGCCAAAAAATATTCCGTGACATACCACAGGAAAAACATATGTCCAAGAGATAAGACACACTTGAAAAGAAAAACTATGCCGTGAAAAGAAAGTATTTCTTTAAGTTATGAACTCCCTGGCAAAATAATAAACTACAAGACGAAACGTTTTGATATTATTTGAATAGTTTTTTGTAAGCTGATGTTCTTTGGTTAAATACAATGACTATTTTTACTGGAACTGTTGAATTTGTAGCGCTTTCGCTTCAAGTTGACGTTACCTTCATGAATGGGTCCTTGGCTCTTCGGCTGGTTCTTGATTTCTGAAATCTTCAAGATCTGCAATTCTAGGATGCCAACTACGACCAGAACTATCAATACAGGGAGCTTGTTTACAAGTCCACGGCCGAACATTGCGCTACTACACGTGAGTCGTTTATCGAYGATCACAACCAGAAATGTTCACATAACCACCCGATATCAGGCCAGACATTGAGTATTATGAACAATCTTGAGTTTATGTGATTATAAACGGTAAAGGAAGATAGGATTTTCGAGCATGTTTACGACAGAATTCTACCTCAAACACTCGATAAATTTGATGAATAACAACGAATACCGGTCAGCGGAAATAAGAAATATTTCCCAGGCTGCATAGGGGTCTAAAATTGTGACGTATTTCCGCTTACTATTTAAAATCTCGTAAACTAAGATATTTTGGTCGGAAATATTTACGAGACTGAAAAAATGAAAGCAGTGTTAACAGATAAGGTTAACCTTTTTTAGTGGTTAGGCTGTAGCCTCAAAAAGAAATAACGCTGTATAAGCTGCATATACCTGAATATCGGCAGTTATAGATTTATCACTTTCAGAGGTGGGTACCAAGTTCCCCCTCGTATCTCGTTCTCCCCGTCGTATGTTGTGATTTGCCCTCATCCTCATCTTTTGGTTGATAAGTGAAGAACCATGTCTATCTTTAAAGTGMAGCTTGGACGAAAATTGCTACCTTTTCGTACAAACTTGAAACTTCGTCAAAATAATTCTTACTGCCCTACTAATCACCTGTAGAAATTTTTTCTTCATATTCTGACGGGAAGTTTGAAATTTTTGAGACAAGGATTGAGTAAGCTGGGCTATCCGGCTGTGGTAAGTGGACAGACAGACAGACAGACAGACAGACAAACAGACAGACAGACAGACAGACAGACAGACAGACAGACTTTTTATTCGGTATCGAGTATTAGTATAATACATAGACATTTTACCCGAACAAATGTATGAAGACTATAATTGTTTATTTATATTTAACCTATTTAGTACAGTTACTATTTAGTGCCTAGTTTGGGTATAAGAAGACAACATACTATATTAATTCTGTATTGTATGTGATCTTTTTATAAAGCAGTTGTGGACATATTATGCTACTGCAACTGCTAACATTTTGGGAGGACTCAAAATATAAATAAATAGCAGAAACATTTCGTTCTCATTTAACAAAAGAGAATCATTGTTTATGTTTTTTGTCCTTGAAGAGTTCTTCCCTTAGATTTGAATATAATGTACTGTGAAGAAGGAAGTGCCTCTCATCTTYTACACTATCTGGTCAATGGAAGCACCTCYTATCTTCTGTTTTTTTATATTCCCTTGAATGTCTTCCCTTTTCGATTTCAAGGTCGTGATTACTGATTCTCAATTTGGTTAATGCTTTTCTGTGTTTAAAATCCTTAACTTCGATATAGTGATATATTAACTGATCTTAATTTTGCATCTAAATTGGCCTAAATTGGGAAGTTGACCTAATTCGGCTAGACAAGCCGAATTGGTAGCCTCTCTTCCAACCCAAAATGGTCACGTGGTTATTTATTCAGCTCCCCCCGCACACACACACTCACTTCCCCTACTTTTAAAAAGGTTGTGCCGCCTCTGTTAAAGTTCAGGAAAAAAATTGTGCCCGCAGCCGATGGTGAAGACTGTCCGCTTTCTGCTACTGTCTTGAATCCTAAATATAACAGGACTGTTGTTGCTTGATGACGTCATCCCGATGGATGGATGGACGGACGGAGGGACGAACGGACGGCTTTTGTTAATGTAACTGTTCTTTMAGGGATTTATTTTGGCTTTAGACTAAACACGCGTTCCCAATGCCACATGGATGATTTAATTTAGGAAATATTGATTATTAATTGTGTACGTGRTGAAGATTGGATCGAAGGAGGGTTCAATGGACGACAGGTTGTCTTGTGAGAGTAGGAGAGGGAAGGGGAAGGAGAGAAATGTAATTAAAGGCAATGGTTATCATTCTGAAAGGAGGGGATGACTCCATTGTTTTAAAATAACATTCCTGTCGAGACATCGCTACCAGTATGACGTTACGTAGCAATATAATAGAGCGATTCGCGTGGCTTGTTCAGGTAGTAGGTTTTTTTAAGCCGATTTAAACGATCCAAGTATCATTWTAAATAACATTTCAAGCTCTATGAGAAGCCGTGTGTATGTCGTCGTCGCGCCTCGAACTTTTAAAGATATTGAGCCATGAATATCGCGATTCTGCATTTTCCTCATTAARAAACTTTTAAAATCTCTAAAATTATCATTGCAAATATAGTGACATTTTTTAACCGTACGATAAAATAAAAAGTCATATGTTATTGTTTAAAGCTTTATATTTCAAAAACCGAGTGTATGCGACGGTTTTACTTTGAAATGAAAGCTGAAAATCAATTTTTAATCGGTCTTGTAACGTAGCTTCAACCATTTTCTCTGCATTTGAATCTCCCGCCACTCATTAACTTCCCAATGGTTCACCGCATTCTTAGACCTTAATGAGATGCCAAAATCAATTTGTCCACTCATTCTGCGCCATGTTTAGCGTGGGGAAGCCATTGTGAGAAGTACAAAGAAAGGTTAAAGAGTAGTTTAACGATATGACCAATTTCTCTCCTGATAAATGGGATATTTAAATGCTTAGAATAGTGGGGATCGGGAGGGAGTTCGACGACAGTTTTTGAGTGAGATTTGTCGGCTTGAGAGTTTTAAAAGTTAACAATAGTACTGAAATATAATCACATTATTTTTATTATTTTAAAATTTTGTTTCAAAAATATAATTTCTGAAATAAATACAGAATATCTCATGTTCACAACATCATTTCTTGGAAATTCTAGCACGTAGAACGACCTATACAATATATCTATAATAAATAACAATATTAATATTATTATAATATTATTAAACTTCGTATTATTAAAAATTCAACGTCTACATCCACATCCAGTAACCAGTGTTTTGGAATAGTGTAACGATACTTGTTCTTCGCAAAAAATATTGGGACAGCTGAGAGAAGTCTTCTTACATTCGTACTCAGTCAACCCGGAACTTCCTACCCATGTTCGTTTGACGCAAGCTGCACAGTTTGTATAACACGGTAACGGTGATGCATTTACCGGATTGAAGCTGGGGTGTAGGTACAGGACCAAAAATACCACCACAATTGATAATTCCTGGAGGGGGAGAAAGTAGAGGAATTCAGATTAAACTGCCAAACACTTGCACTGTATCAATCATCCACTCTGAAAAAAAAACTTGGGGCTGATCTACGTTAAAAAACGGCTAGCTCAGAGATCAAATCCTGAAACAACCTCTGGGCTGATCGATCTAAGTGATTAGATCATCCAACAAACATACCTGCCGTATTCTTAGTCAAAAGTCAAAATGTTTGGTYAAATCGTACGAGGGAAGTCCTATAGTGATTGACTAAAAAGTTTACGATCCATAAAAAAAGTTCTATTGCCAACCATTTTACACTTGATCCGCCTTAAGTGACATCAAGAGGTTGTTCATTTGCATCTTGGGAGGCGACTTATAAAATATGATCAGGTGTAGTCACACGTTTATATTACAAAATGCGATTTCAAAGGAATTTAACAAACTGTATTCTGCATTAACAATAAAAAACGCCCTTCGATGAATGCGAATAAGACGAATTATAGAGTACAAACACTATAAGTGTGTAACGTAAATACCACTAAATACTGCTAAATTATGCTAATCCTATTGTTTTCTATTGTTTAATTAGTACTATTTACTGCTAAATAGCGCAAAGTGTTGCACACTTTTAGTGTTTGTACTCTAGTACAAAGAAACAAGATATAAAAAAACTGTAAAACTTCTCTTATTTACTTACCAATTTCATGATCATGCTCGATATTCTTAATTTTCTTTTCTAGTTCGTGTGTGAGTTGGAGGCGTCTCTAAATTTCAAACTTATCAGGCTTGAAGTTGTTTCTTATGATTTGAAACTGTTTGACATCGTCCCTTTTATGAGAGACCGTTTGGTTCGGCCAAACGTTAAACTTAGGTAACGTTTTATTTTTATATATTGGATCATTTTGATACATTGGAAAGATTTAGCTTTGCCAGGATATCTGGAAAGGAACTGGATGTCTTTGACTGCCGGTCGCTTTAAATTTAGTTGGCGGTAAAGCGTTCTATGCCGGAGGTAAAATAAATACGCTGGTCTGGTTAGGGTATTGCGTAGTACGTTCATGAAAACCTGGCGCCGTTCTCGGCAGTTGACAAATGGATACTCCTTATGATACTATGAAAAAATACATCACAGAATTATGTACTAATTATCAGTTTCAATTCTTCTTGTCTTATTCTCATATGTCGTCACAAGGGATGCATTATCATGCCATATTCGTCGAATGGTGAAAAAGGAACCACGAACACAGAGGAAGTGACGTGAGCGGAACGTTACCGTTTTTACTTTTACGCGTTTTTGTTTCCTGACTTGAGGCACACGAGCCGGATATTTCAATGAATGACAACGCGGTCTAGTACAGGTATTTCAAAAAAGGTTGAATACTGAATACTGCATACCGAATAGTGCTTTCCAAGACCAAAGGGCATTGTGGGTCTCGTCAATTTGAAATAAAAGTAAATATACAGCAATTAACTCTCTACATGTAGTTAGTATATTGTTTCAGATGGAATACACTAAAAATAGAATAAATAATTATTATTAATCCTWCTTTAGACAGCGTCACTATGACCCACAATGTACTTCGGTCTTTGAATGCACTATTCAGTATGCAGTATTCAGTATTCAACCTTGTTGAAATAGCTGTATATGATTTTGTATGGCATTTCGACTCCATCTCCGGGTTTATTCCTCGTCTATACTCTTTCTCTCTTAAGCTTTTAGTCTACTCCGCCCCCGGACTCTACTGATCATGAATACCTTGTAGTATTTAACTACATGATTTTAATTTTCTTATTTAATTGATAATGACGTTCGGATATAACGTCGAAACGAAGCCTTTTCATTARATTTTCTTAAATAAAAATAAAAATAAAAATAGAATAATAAATGTCTTTATTATAAATAGATAAAAGTACATACCTATCCTTACATAGGTAATTATGAAAAAGTTCTATGCTAGAAAAAAAAACAACAACAACAACTAAAGGTATATATTATAGTTATGCTATAACAATCTTAAAATTTTCATTTCTTATAGTTTTTAACTCAGAAGCATGGGTGGCGTAACAATGCAACCTGAGTTAAAGTCCCGCCGGGCTCGGTGTCGTATTAGGCACTGGCTATTAAGTGCTACCACCCTCGTGACTAACCGGAGGTTTTTTTAGCGTCGTTTAATCAATTAGGAACGGCTTTTTGTGTCTATTTTTACTGAAAAAATTACAATAATCAATTCCTATGAACAATTTTTTTCTCAGTACTAGCTTATTCTTTATTCAAAACTTAATGCTTTTTGGCACTTAAAACTCCTCTTATATAATTAGTTCTAATTCGAAAAGATGACTTTTGTTAAAAGTTAAGCGAATTTGTAATATCGACTCATTTGATCTTTTGTACAGACTTAACGAGACTTTTAAAAGAGTCCCTAAATTTCGTAACGGTATTATTACATTATAGTTATAATAAATTATTATAAATGAACATTAATAGTTCTTTTGATCACTCCTAGGTATATCTAGACGATATTTCCTTATAAAATAAATAGAGCAAATTGCTTGTCATAYCGTTTCGTCCTTTATTCAAAACTTACGAGACTTTTAAAAATTCTCTAAATTTCGTAACTATATAATACGTCACCAGGTAATGAGACTGACGATCGCTTCTCATAGAGTTACAAATTTATAATATTTGTTCCTGCTTTGAGATTCGGTTGGAAGTTAAAACGCTAAACAAAAGTATATATATTAATAACACAAGTGGTGCGCAGTACGGACGTCCGCTTCAGCATTAGCTACTTTCAGTTAACAAGGAAAATAAATTCATCTGCTTATCATTTCAGTCTCTTAGACTGCAAACTATATATCCTTGAAATAGTACGATACTAAATAGCACTAAATACATTTATTTCTTTTGTTTCCGATTGTTTCATTGGTGCTATTTTATCTCATAGTCAATAAATCCCAATACGCACTACCTCAAATTTTGCCAAAGTGACAATTTACTACTCTACTTCTCAGTCAAAAATACATTTATGAAGCATTCACTGTATTTAGAATGAACATCAAAACGGTGTCTCAGAATATGCTAAAAATACTATAATTGAAGCCAGGTTTCATAGTAACGCTTGAATTGTTTAAATAGATATTTAAAACTAAAGGTGTCTTAGGGAAAATTATTCAACTAGAGTAACTTTTTAGACTATTTTGATCGCTATTTAGATAGACGTGACGGTATTGCGTGACATAAACTCAACCTTCATAACTCGGGAACCAAACGTCGAAATGACTSGAGAATTTTTCTTGTGACTTATAACACTGATTTCTAAAACACACTTTAAAAATGCCTTTATACTATCAATAGTTTAGATTTTGATGTTTTGATGACGTCATGTGAAAACCGGCAATAAGGTCTATTGGGGACCACAACCCCTACTGATACCTTAAGGTGACTCCAACATTATTTGAGTGAATACTCCCATTTCGGGTTCGCCTTTGCTCAGTCTTAGCCTCGATTGTGTACAAATGTGTTCTTTTCTTTCATTAAGGTTCATTATATAGTAAGGAATGCACGTACTGCGGAACATTACGAGTTGATTAAAATGCCACGGGTTTTGGTTGAATAGCTGAATATTATAACACACAACCGAGAGTAAGACTGAGCAAAGAGAACTCGAAACTGGAGTACTTAGCGATTTTTTAAACTCGYTCGTATCACTTAAAAAATACTCGGATATTTTTGAATTTTGTACATGTATTAGTAAACATTTAGCCTTTTAACCTTGTATTCCAAGTTTTATTTTCTAGTCGCGTTTGCATGCCGTTATGGGCCGATTTTCAATTAACAGTGGTTTTCACTTGTCCTCCTGTTCGTGCGGGATGCCGTGGTTCGATTWCTGGACGGACCAGCACTTAGGGTCTAAGAATAAGAACTTTACCTGGTTCGAATGAGTATGTAAAATGGCAGTCCAGAACGTCTCTCTGAACTAGGTCACCCTGCATCGGAGGGATGCAAAAAAAAAAGAAAAGAAAAGAAAAGAAAAGAAAAGAAAAGAAAAGAAAAGAAAAGAAAAGAA